CTTTCCCTATCCGCACCGTCAGTGTTTGGAGCTGGCTTTAAACGGGTGGATCAGGTGCAGTCACGTTGCAGGCCTGATGTGTGGAGGGACAGCAGGGCTAGGGGCTGCACAGATTGGCAAGCAGGCCACAGAAGAGGCACCTACAGTAATTTCTGTGTGGTTGGAGTAAAGTAAACTGCTAGGCCAGGCAAAAAGTAGAATGAGCCAGCCGTTAGGCAGAGGCCTAGGTTTAATTATTGTATTGGAACTTTGTAAATTTCTTGGTTTGCTTTTGAATAATGGGATTTCAAGCTTAGGTTTGATCTTTCCAATGCACCTAGTTTTATATGTATATAGTAATCCTAATGTTTCTTTACTGCACCATTGAAATTTATCTATACATTAATAATGTGATGAGAAGTCTTTTCATGCTATGAAAGTGCTCAATGACAGCTAACTCATGGGATCAGTATAAAATGCCAAAGTAAACACTCACAAAATGCTAAACACATAATTGTTATATTCAATATCGATGTATATTTTTAGCCTTGGAGGACCGATCATAAATCTTGACAGAAGTACTACTACATTTAGTGGAAATTATTAAATGAACAATATTTAATTTCTCTGAAGCAGTACTGTTAAATAAATTAGCTGTAGACAGCCGTGACTGACTGTTGGTCTTAGTTGCATAGATAGCAAAAGCAAATGTAACTGTTAACCCAAACTTTAAAACTGGATTATCAAAATCCGAACTAAACCTTCTCATTCTCTTCTGTTCCAGGAACTGTACTCATGGGTGCCTTATGTGAGCATGACATCTGTATTTGCCTTCATCTTGAGCTTTGGGTTGGGACCAGGTATTACGCAGTAATGAATGTTTTAAAGTGGCGAAATGTGTGTCTGGGGCGGGGGGGGGAATGTCAGCAGCTCTGCTGTGTAAGCCAGGCAGTAAGTATTTACTGTAAGGCTGCTGATGCTCTGGCTAAGGAACGCAAGTGAGCCCGTCTCATCAGAACAGCTTAGTCTCCCATAGCCTGAAACTGAGCAACTCAATTTTTCCAGCATTGGAAATACCGCAGATGGACATTTAGCATAATAACCTGTTCTGTTTCTGGAACTCATTCCCTCAGGTGGCATAACAAATACCCTGACAGCTGAATTATTTATACAGTCTTCACGTCCTGCTGCTTACATGATAGGAGGGACTGTTAGTTGGA